CTTAATAAACATGATACCCTGCCATATCCATCATGCCCTTAATAAACACTATACCCTGCCATATCCATCCTGTCTTTAATAAACACTATACCCTGCCAGATCCATCATGGCCTTAATAAACACTATACCCTGCCATATCATTCATGGCCTTAATAAACACTGTACCCTGCGAGAGCCATCATGGGCTTAATAAACATGATACCCTGCCAGATCCATTATGGCCTTAATAAACATGATACCCTGCCAGATCATGTCCATGTGAGATGAATAAACACTATACCTGCCATATCCATCCTGTCTTTAATAAACACTGTACCCTGCCAGATCCATCATGGCCTTAATAAACACTATACCAAGCCATATCCATCATGGCCTTAATAAACACTACACCCTGCCATATCCATCATGCTCTTAATAAACACTATACCCTGCCAGCTCCATCCTGTCCTTAATAAACACTTTACCCGGCCATATCCATCCTGTCCTTAATAAACACTATACCCTGCCATATCCATCCTGTCCTTAATAAACACTATACCCTGCCAGATCCATCATGGCCTTCATAAACACCCTGTCAGATCCATCCTGTCCTTAATAAACATGATACCCTGCCATATCCATCATGCCCTTAATAAACACTATACCCTGCCATATCGATCCTGTCCTTAATAAACGCTATACCCTGCCAGATCCATCCTGTCCTTAATAAACACTATACCCTGCCAGATCCATTATGGCCTTAATAAACATGATACCCTGCCAGATCATGTCAATGTGAGATGAATAAACACTATACCCTGCCATATCCATCATGTCCTTAATAAACACTATACCCTGCCAGATCCATCCTGTCCTTCATAAACACTATACCCTGTCAGATCCATCCTGGCCTTAATAAACACTATACCCTGCCATATCTATCATGGCCTTAATAAACATGATACCCTGCCATATCCATCATGCCCTTTATAAACACTATACCCGGCCATATCCATCCTGTCTTTAATAAACACTATACCCTGCCAGATCCATCATGGCCTAAATAAACACTATACCCTGCCATATCCATCATGGCCTTAATAAACACTATACCCTGCGAGAGCCATCATGGCCTTAATAAACATGATACCCTACCATATCCATCATGCCCTTAAAAAACACTATACCCTGCCATATCCATCATGCCCTTAAAAAACACTATACCCTGCCATATCCATCCTGTCCTTGATAAACACTATGCCCAGCCATATCCATCATGGCCTTAATAAAAACTTTACCCTGCCATATCCATCATGCCCTTTATAAACACTATACCCTGCCAGATCCATCCTGTCTTTAATAAACACTATACCCTGCCATATCTATCCTGTCCTTAATAAACACTATACCCTGCCAGATCCATCCTGTCCTTAATAACACTATACCCTGCCATATCTATCCTGTCCTTAATAAACACTATACCCTGCCATATCTATCCTGTCCTTAATAACACTATACCCTGCCATATCTATCCTGTCCTTAATAAACACTATACCCTGCCATATCCATCCTGTCCTCAATAAACACTATACCCTGCCATATTCATCCTGTCCTTAATAAACTTAAAAAGTAGTTTCATGGTTTTATTTTTCAATCTTAAAGGGGCACTGATCTAACGGACTGGTTGTTGCCTTTGTTATTGTTTTTCCCCCGTGAGTACCCGGATGATACGCAACGCAACTGAGCGTGACCAGAGACTGGGGTACCGTCTGGAAGGACAGCTAAATAAACTTGGAGGCTGGAGGCAATATTTGTTTTACGCATTTTTGAACACTGGTTGGTTAACTGTGATCTATAAAGATTTCGACAAAGGGCGCATGTTAATTCATTTCTTCAGCCTAAACAAACAGACAAAAAGAACAAGGGAGCTCATCGGACGTCGTCATTTGGAAATACCCCAGATGGTTATAGTTTAATACTAAAAACAGTATCCATGCAGTGAAAGCATTTTCGGATTTCGGCTTGCGTCGATAATACGATTACTACTCCTTTGTTGTCATCCACGTTTTCTCGTATAACCCTACACTTGTGTATTTGTCGTCATTCACTTGATGCTCAGTTAATGAATTTATTACAGGTACAATTAGTGGTAGCACCACTTATATTACCTGACAAAGGTTGCCATTTGGCATTTATTGTGTCTGGGGTAATTATTCAATCTAAATCCAGGTTTGAAGTAAGGTGAAATGTGTGTTATGTAATATGCACGTGGCAGCCCAGCAAGAGATGAATGATCACTTGATTTACTTTTTTTTGTAAATCAACGGATCGTTCCTAGTCATCAAAGGATTAACAGAAAATACGTTGATTGATTAATCACTGTTATCTTGCACAGTGGATATGTCAAGAGTGAGTGTTTACATGTCTAGGTTTACTAAAACAAAGGGAATACACTCATATCATGGCGCGAAGTGCCGATGTAAAAACAACATACTTTGTTCAAAGGGTTAACTGATAATACGTTGATTGATTGATCATTGTTATCTATCACTCAATGGAATTTTTAGGAACCGTGATCGCTATGAAAATAGTTGTCACGTGGGCTTTCTCAGCCGACCATTGAGACTTGACACCTATGTAAAACACCTGAAACAATCCAAGCGATCAGTTGAGAAACGAACACGGGTTATAATATCCCGAAACGATATATATCTTTTAAAATATTTGATTGTTACTGAGACACGTGACATCGAATAAGTTTCTTTGTACAGCTGCAGACGAGTGGGATATTGTTCCTTTGTGTGGATATTCACGGACACATTCCTCGAACAAGGAAGCTGCCTAAAACTTATACACATAAATTTGGTAGGTTGTAATTATGATATCTGCATTTTGTTTTCCTTCATTGGCTGTAGCATTGAACAGATTCGTTCTTGTTCCTCTACGTCTTGGTTGGGAAATTCTTCAGATTGACTAAAATTGATTAAGACAACCAAAAGGGCCTAACAACATCACAACAGATTATTATGTTGGATTAGAAGCCAAACAACATAGAAATGTACTTTTCAACGTAACATTTTCAGTCTCTTGGTGATGACATTAAACATCAAAATGTTTGGAATTCGTTATCATAATAATACAGATGGAAATGTTTTTCAGTCACTTTGTAAAATAACTGAATATTTAGACGTTTAATAAATTTGTTACACATTTGACAGTAACAAAATATACACACTTTAAAAAAGCATATGCTCAGGTGAAATATATACTTTGTGTTGCAAGTCAAAATAGTGTAAACGAAAATCGCAAAATTACCAAGCTAGTGACTTATCAAAACTTCGTCACCATTACCGATGCTACTCACAAAGATACCTACATTTCCTTATTATCTCGAAAACTGTATTTCATTTTGTTGATCAATGTGACCATACGCCCTTATTACTACCCATAAAAGTGACTAATGCGCTTACGAATGGCGCATCAGAGGTCGCGAACTAGTCTAGATTTCTGCTATACATCCGGGTACTCACTGGGAAAAAACAATAACAAAGGCAACAACCAGTCCCGGGGAATTGCGTTAGATCAGTGCCCCTTTAACAATATAAACAAAAGTATAAAAAAATATTTGAGGTTACGAAAATTCTTTACCATACATTTAGATATGATTGTGTACAAAATCAGCTTTAACAAAATATATTCTGGAAAACTAGGCGACTGCTGTTGGAAATGAAATGCAATGAAATGAAATGCTGCTGGTCAAGTAACAAAAATGGCGCTTTGCAAAACGAAAATCTCTATTGATGAGTTAAATGAGAAATTTACTGTTTATAACGAAACATTTTCAAACGAATAACAAATGGCAAGAAGTGATTTTAACTCCATAAGTGACCATCTGTTATTAAGTACACTGCAACAGCCATTATGTCCATACCCCACACATTCCCATTGAAAGAATCACATGCTTTACAATGATGCCAAATTATCTAAATTTGAGGGATTTTTCATCGTCAAAGTATGACAAACACTATATTTTTAGAAGTAAAATTCCAGTTGTAGTTTTATTTGTTTATTGAAAAGATAAATGCATGATACATCGTAGTCATTCTGTATATGGTTCAACAAGTTCTGAAACGAATGGACCGAAATTTTCAATGATATGATACTTTTTAGGGTTGGTTGCAAAAGGAACAGCACAACATTGTAAATATAGATACATTTAGCAGATACAATTCAAATTTGTACAATACAGGTTTTAGCAAAAATAAAACTGTACAGGTGGGGGTACTTAAGGTTTGAATATGCACAGCAGTCGAAGGATTAAAACAACATGCACAACACATGCCAGGTCACACTCATGGTAGTGGAGCACCTCCCTGTAGCAACCATGGCAAGTGCATGGTCAACAAACCCCTTTTGTAAAACATGCTTCATTAGTCTTGAAAATATAGCTAGAACATTCCCGGAGCATGCCAAGTGCTAAAAATCAGTCATTCAGCGCATAGTAACTATAGTCAAGGACACAGTGTAGTCTTTCAATGTCAAATGGAGGCATTTATTGCTTTTGGTGATCCTAATAATCATTCTAACATGATCAAAACAAGTATTTTTGACACGTTTGACTTGTTCAAGAGCTGACAAAACAATGATTTGGTGTGAAGTATTTAGTACAGTGCCTACCATGATTATAGCCCGGGACATGTCATGCCAGTGTCACTTTCAGTGGCAGGAGGTAAGCAGCTGCAACATGTGGTATGTGTTGTCTCATATAGTGACACAACTCCAGCAAACTTTTGCCATTTAGGGCTAAGAAAACTGAATCACTCCTCAACAAGTTATTTCCCTACTTCATCCACATGAACCTACTAAAAACATCATATCACTATGATGACTATTAGCATGATTAGTGCACAGTGGGATCTGTTTCAAGTATGCCATGTTATTATGAAGGATCAATTTCCGGCAACAACTTGCTGTTATTCCTACAAACCTGTGACCTGTGACTGTTGACCCAATGTACTCACATGAAATCCTCCCAGGGTAGAGGCACATGTTTGTTTTGGTCACCAAAGAACTCATCTGGATCTGTGGTGGAAAGCTGAGCGTACTGAAAGTCTGGATCATCATGTCCACTCATAGTTTGAAGTTGTCAGCTCCTGCAGTAGCTCCTACTCCAGTATGTTGCCTATCAAGCTATCACAGACATAAATGATGCCAGTGTATGACCCTTGCTTAGTGGCCCACCCAGACTATCACAGCCACACAACCTGTATAATTATCTCAAACACTCAGGCAATTTTCCTGAGTTGGCTGCATCCATCGGCACACAGACCGTAGTGACATACATACACGCATGTGTCTGTCCTGCCTGTGCATTGTGTAGGCTGGCAACAGCTGTGCCAGCACATCACAACATGAATAAATAGTCACCACAGTTAGAGCTACAACAACTGACATTCACCATGTTCACTTGTACTAGTAAGATATAAATCCATAATCTGAAAATGTGAATAATGTACATGTGCTAGCTGCTGGAACATGCTACCAGCATCAGTTGTACAGTCTGTTGTAGTATATAATATACCCACAAAGTCATGCACATTTGGCTTGCTGTCGAGCTCAGCATGTTTAATATGATCTAATTTAATATATTTTGTTTTCTCATTTGGCTTTCGTTCTCATTAGTTTGTGTACTGATCTATTATCTCAAAACCTTTCAACGGCTGAAATATACATCAAAATTAAACTAGACAACTTATATATTTTGTATGTCAATATATTGGGTTGGAATGATGAGAACAAAATTGAAATTGCCATTTTTTCAAAATATGACAGGAATGTTAAAACTGTATAGTGCTACACTTGGGAACAAAGCCACAACGCAACATGTGTTCTCATCCCCTGTCCTTGCGAATACACCAACAAAGTAAAGCATATCTATGTATATCAGGCATGTCATGATACGACAGACAGGCTTGACACTTCCTGAACATCTGCTCTCATATTTGAAATAAAAATGTCTCATTTTAATCACTACTTTATTTCAGATACAACTGGAGTGTCAACATAAGTATTTTCTATCATTAAACAAAACAGCAAATTCCCTGTTCGCAAAATACCTTAGATATGCACCCAAAATTAAAGGAATTAAACATGAATGATAAGATCCATGTATGAAATGATAGGGGATTAAAATGTGTATCGATACAGGCAAGTGAGTATTGCATATCAAATTGTTTGAGAAACCTATTGATGCATCAACATGATCAACGTATTGGTTAATCATGACATCCCTAATTCATATATCATATTTTTTATTCATTTAATCAAAACTGAAGTGAGTCCAAAAGCTCATGTACATGTGACATTATCATGGACCCTGGCCAAATCCCCTGTCCATGATAAGACTACACTAGGATTTCTAAACCGTCCATGTGAATTAGCAGGATAAATTGTGGTACCTACCAAATCCTCTCATTTTGAAGAAATTGATAGTAATGTTACACAGCAAATTATTTTTCCCAACTCTACATCATGACATTTCAGTAAGAAAACACAAACAAAACAATTTAAATTTTCCTGAATTGATGTATGATTGCATAAAAAGTATAAAGATGAAGTCAACATTAGCCCCTTACATTCCAGACTTGGCTTTGAAACTATCAAAGTTCTCAATTCAAAATTTGAAAACTGAAAAAAAAGAGTATTTAGAAGATAAATACTATGTGTGTGTCTATTTCCGGGATTTTATCGAGTATTTGCATCTTGGAAATTCATCTCGAGACCCGAAAGCGTTAGCTTGAGGGGCCCGAATGAAAATTTCCAAGATGCAAATACTCGATAAAATCCCGGAAATAGACACACACATAGTATTTATCGATATTGTAAACCTATTGTTTTATTTAGAAAAAAACATGCATACTCTTTAACACCTCGTACTTACTCGGTTGTGAGGCGTCAACATCGAACGTTCTGTCGCTGCTATGGTGATTGTGATTTTGGTAATTAACGTACACCGGTAATGAGACGCAAATACCATCACGTATATTCCAGCTGCGATACCTACATCCTTGAATTCCTCATACATTTTAGAATCATCACGTATATTTCAGCTGCAATACCTACATCCTTGAATTCCTCATACATTTAGAATCAAATGCCAAATGGTCTTTGTCACAAATACAAATTGTCTAGATGTAATGAAGCAAAATAAATGAGGTGTGAAAACGAACGCTGAAAAAACTGCACTTGTTGGAAATGTAAACAAAGCCATTCGTCTATTCATTGAGTACATTGGCTCGAGATCTGCATTTTCAGAATATACACGGGAAGAGAATCGTAGGAAGAATTAGGGAATTAAACATATACATTGCAATAATTTGCTATTTTCAACAGAACTTGTCGAAGTTCCCGTCCTGTGTGACGCCATGACTGACGCAAAATCACGCACAACGACAACGGTATTTATCAGAATTTCTGACTAATTTCGTTGTTTTCAATGAAAAATACAACAACAAAAAACAGTACACAGATTGTCAGAATGTTTCTGATTACTTACATGTCACATTTATGTATATACGAACCCTGAATCAACGAAAGTCCCCTCGTAAAATCCCGCGCACTGTTGACAGTCAACACGCCATTTTGTAAAATTCGGTCACCGGTAGTGATGTCAAACTTCAACATATTTGTTGTACATATTTGGTAATTTCTCTGAGGTGAAGGTCCTTGAATGAAAGTACACACGATCATTGTTAACTGCTTTTTACTGTTTCATGATATAGATCTTGCATATCTTTTGTACATTTTTTTCACACAATTAATTTCACTTTGGATATTAATCAATGTTCAATATGATATCATACGTAGATATAGGCCACAACATATATGAACGTTTGATAATCTCCTGTTTGTTTGAACAATGTTCACATATGAAGTTGATAAGTTTATAGTGTCGTATACAATATTTCTTTAATTTGAACAAGTGTACATGTGACAGGTACATTTACATTTCATCTTGTATGTATTTCTAGGGAGTGTAATAGTGAATATTATAAGTTCATATAAATAGTATAACTGAAACTGACGATATAACTTAACCAAAATCGATATTATTTTTCGTTAAATTATATGCACACATTTCTTGAAGAATTGGCTTGGTCTTGGAATTTTTTTATGCCGTTTGATATACAGAACAGTGATATCTGAGGATTCGCCAGGAGCACGTTAGTCGCTATGGTGATTGTGTATTTTGGTAATTATTTCATTATAAATTTTTTTTTAATTAAACATTTAAAATCCCAATAATTCCCGTGAATAGAGAAAATCTAAATATTTGTTATGAATGTTAATTAGTATGCAAAAAATTATGTATTCCTACACAGTGATTCGGTTGCTTGCTTCAGGGAATGCAAATCATATTTTCACCCTTTGACATTTGGTCATGTGACCCAAATTAGCCAATAACAACACAGAACACACTTTCTATAGGTTTACAATCTTGAATGTCTGATGGAAGGCCAAGATTGTACTCATGGGAATACGATATTGCCTACAGGCTGTGTGAAGTCTCTTCTGTTTCAAATCTTTGTCTCATTGAAGCAAGAGACAAACAATGACTTTGACTGTTTGAGAGAATTAGTCGTACAGCCCGTAACTGTTGTTCGATTGTCTCCTGATACCCTTTTCAATGTTGCACTTTTGCAATCTGTTATCAATGCTCTGAAAAGCCCTTCTTACTACACCTGTAAAGCAATGTCCTCAGATCTATGTGTAGCAGAAGCGACCATTAAGATCTGATTATAATGAGATTGAAATATCATTCTGCCAGTCTGTCTTGTAGAAGATCTCACCACTTATGTGGTCAGTGTAAACTTACTGTATCACAAAAAAAACTTTCTATACTGCAAATTGCTACCGAATTTCATTCATGGTTAACATGGTTAACACTGCCCGTTTACGGAATTTTAGAATTGAGGTGCAGGGTATGATTGATAAATTCCCTCTACCAAAATGGCAATATGGTATTATTATTTCTTAAGCATGACAATTTGTCTATTATTTACTTTAGCATGTATACTAACAGATAAAAGTAACTGAGCTTTGTATAAAGTACAATAAAAATAATTTTAAGGGGAAAATAATCCCATTATTTGTTTTAAACCTTTCAAGGAGAGGTAATCTACAGCCTACAGCAATGGGAGAAAACTCTGGTTGGACCAGCCTTTCTAGTTTGTGTATGCTACAACAAGGAGCAGTGTCATTTTTATATTTGTTGTAGGTGGCATCATGCTGATAACCGCCATGTTTGCCGTCGTGAAGGTTACAGAATGTGCTTGAATCAGTTTTATACGCACCCTCCCTTTCACGTGGGATTAATTGTTAGTCATGTGGTCAAGTTCATGCCAATTAATAAACTTGACCTTGTTAACCCCAAAGGCTTTTTGCGTTATGTTATTCGAGTTGGTATCTATAGCTAAATTTTAAAACCTGTGACAACAAAGGTTTTATCTGAAATAGTGAGCATGGTTTTACGCCGCTTTGGAAATATTCCAGCAATATCACGGAGGTGGACACCAGAAATGGGCTTCACACATTGTACCCATGTCGGGAATCGAACCCTAGTATTCGGCGTGACGAACGAACACTTCAACCACTAGGCTACCCGAACACCCTGTCATCTAAATGTTATAATCAATAAGTGTAGTGTTACCACGCTTTAGCTATTAGAATTGAAATAATGTGCGAAAAGATACTTCACTATTTTCCCTTCAAAAGGTCCTCCCGTGAGCGCGCAGAACTGTATGATATAAACACATCGCGTACAAAGTCAAGGACGAAAGTAAGGGACGTTATTCTAAATGACAATGAAACCTTTGATCGAACTGCATATGCGTTCAGCATTTAACATGCGTGTTCAAGTCTGATGTTAGGTGATGTATACTGTATATTTTTGTGTTTATGTCAAAAGTCAAGTTTATATTAGTGTAAACACCAACATTATACGTGGAAACACTCAAAACAAAAATCGTTCAGGAAGCAGCGCACCCACAAGCAAGTTTTTATAACAATCTAAGCTTGTTAAGTTTGTTTTGTTATTTATGTATCCAATATATTTCACGAATTAACCAAGGACTTAAATACAATATCAAGCTATTAGTAAATATTTTTTTATCTATCTAGATCCATAATAATTTACAAAATTTAAAAGTGACACTAATTTTCATTCGCAAAGAGAGATAATTTAGGAATTGTCAAGTTATGTTGTCTCATGGAATGCCACAAGATTATTGTGTTGAAAATGTGTATTTTATATTGATCAGTAAATTTCATTCAATAAACTTTTTTCTGCGAACA